GTAATGAATCAGTGTCCTGACAACTCTTATATCAACCAGATACTCTATCTCTCACCCCTGTATCTTCCCAGGCATATATCAAGTATTGCCCAACCCTAAGAAAACTGGACTGGACACTAAACCTTTTGATGTAAGCTGTTTTGATGCATTCTCTAACCCTATGATTAGTGAGCTTGTCAAAATGCGAATGTCACGACCTTTTTACAGTTACATTTAATATTTTATTATCAATGTATGTGAATAAGCAGGATATCAAAATATGGCATGTAATCCAATTGTTTATATTATTTAAGTTTTAACTTCTTAAATTTCAAAGAAAACATGTAACTAAATGCTTGATATGCAACTCTCTGAATCACATGATTTAGTAGTACTGTGATTTCTCATTTATATATTTTTTCCCTTACATGTGCTTCAGATTTTTCAACCAATTAGAAACACATGGTATGGATAATGACAAACTTAATTACAAGCGTTTTAACCTCTTATCTTCTTGCACATTTGAGATAACACTATATTTATTAAACCCACACTCCTTCTATAACTTTTGTTTTTTTTAAAGTTCTTATAATTGTCTATGACATTGCTACTAGGCATGTTTATAATCAATATAAGAAAACTTTGTACCTTCCATAAATAACATAAGCATTTGTTTTATTTGAATCGTAAAAATTGATAATTTACTGTCAGAGCTCGATGTGTTAGATCAAAAATATTGCTCCAAGAAGTCATGTTTTTTTAACCCTATTTATAGATTAGTTAAAAAGCCATATAGCTTTTGTAAATTCTAATCTAGCGGTTGATATGTTCTTCGTTACCTAAGTTTTGTATTTGAAAGCTACATGAATTATTTCTGGGCGACCCCAATAGTTAGAAAAAAAGAAGGTTTACAAAAGCAGGCATTCGTTTGCAAACCATCCTAGAGCTACGCTAAATTTCAAGTTTTTATGTATATTTTTTATTTATTGTTATATATTTTAACAAAGTAACCAAAGTGTAAAAAAGCAAAAACTATTAAGTTAGCTAAAAAAATTAAGTGGAAACAATGAGTAACACATGAGAAACAGTACTATTAGGTGTGCATGGTGTAATCTGTTAATTTGTTTGTTTACGGTTTAATCTGCTATCCTACCAAGTGATTTATTGTTTGTCACAGTAGTTTAACATGGTTCAAACAGTAATAAAACAATAAAATTAAATTAATGCAGATGTCAAAAGTTAAGAGGCCTGAAGCGCTGGAGATAAATAAACGTAATTGTCTTTTACAATATGCTATCAAATTGTAAAAACAGTTTATCATGTTTTATTCAATATTTTTGCTACAGATGATTATTTATAATTAGTGTTTAGGTAGAGAAAATTATATGTAAAAAAATAAAGTTGTCCTGAAAAACTTATGACGTTCATTTAAGAAGTTTTAGGACAATGCAAATGAATATGAAAAGTGTAAAATTACAAGAAGTATTTTATTCTTGGCATGAAAATCACACTGACTCAGTAAAGGCTGCGTCAATTCACAGATAAATCTTTGGTAAAATACTTTATTAAAACACTCTATATTTTGTGCACAATTGACTTGTAATGTTTACAGAAAACTTGCCATATTTAATGGAAATATAGTTAGTGCTTTAAGAGCTATAGCGTGCATAATTTCATGGTTACATGGTGGTTATCAGGTCAGTCAAAATGACTGAGCCTGTTATCCATACATCTCAGGGGCCAGACCCATTAGCTTCCTGGAACTGAAGTAGCAGTGGTTAATACTTATAACTCTTATACACTTGCTGTGCTATTAGTCAAAGCTGAGAACCCTGTCTACCTTGATGTATGTCAAGATACTGGCTACTCCTTTTAAAATGGCCCAACTATCCACACCAAAGCATATGCTTTAGTTCTTCTTTCCAGAGTTATCTCCAGATAGAGGCATCATTAATATTAGCTGTAGCATTTCCCACTCACTGGAAACCAGCATGGTGCAGGCACTTGAGTAGGGCAGTATGCTCAAGGTATAGCCATGGCAGCAGCTGCTGCAGGTTTCTTCTTGTCTTGTGACTTATTTCAAGTTATGACTTTGAACCCCATTACAACAGAAACTGCCTCTATTAAATTGAGAATGGCTCTCATAATCAAGGGATGTCTCAATACCTAAACAGATAATCCCTCATTAAACCTCTCTATGAGAATATTCTTGTAATTTGCATTACAGGGTGTGTTTTACCACACTAATGACACAGATAATCCATATTAGTGGCCAAGTTTTCGGTGACACATTTCTTTTGAGCCTTGAATTTAGACTTATGGTTAACTTAATTTTCCACCATACCTAAATTGCATTATAACTTGGCTGTGACTATATTCCAGTTTTAGAATCCATCCACACTGGAGTGAATTAGGTCCTTACCTGTGAATGACACAATGATAAGTTATCATAGGTAGTCCACTCATTGGCTTTACATGAACCCAGGATTCTTTTTGATCCATGGTCACCCAGGCAGTATATCTCCTATCTCATTGAAGCTCATGATTATCTTATGTATCACCATCTTCACCAGTTAGCGTCCACTGTCGTACCTACTAGCAAAAAAGCTCAGACTGGTAGACATTATCCAACAACAGCATCTCCAGTATCTTTCGCCTTGTAGCTGGTAATATTTGCCAGAGCTGAGGTTTGGCTACTCTTGTTGGCAAAAGTCTTGGAGTCCTGAAAAGACTCCCCATTCAGTCTTGGACTTGCCAGACTATGTATGCACAACTGTAATTATCCTCAGTTGTCTGTGCCTCCCGTGAATTGAAATCACACCTCAAGATATGAACTCTCATTCTGGATACACCAGATACTAGCATTTCTCTTTCTTGACTCTGTAGGTACCATAAGAAAGAAGTAATAAACCTTTTTAGCATTATAAAAGTATGACATCAAGGAGGAGATTTCTCTGAGACCCAACAGCTTTTCAAGACAACCATCTTTCATCAGTGACTGACTCTTCATCTTGGTCGTGTAGTCTTTGATTCATAAAAAATTCCGTTTCTTCAATTATGAATCATTTTTTAAACATAAACACTCAAAGGTTAAGAACATACAAGGAATACAGTCGTCAGAAGAAAAACAGAAGACCTCATAAAAATAAATCCTGTAGTCTTGGATATTTTGTCGCATCCTCAGGTGTAATGATTTTCTTTAGAAGTGATAAGGTATGTTCCACAGAATAACAGGAGTTCTGACCGAAGACTGGACCCAGTCTATAACAAAGTTAATCAATCTTTATTCAAACCACAAAAAAATTAAAAAGTGTATTCATAAAGATCGGAGCCTTTACTAGATAGAAGTCTATGTATGTATTAAGAGCTTATATCTATCAGTAAGCTTGGAGAATCTGTGAATTTGTTCCTAACTAAGAAAATGTTGCATTATATGTACGAAACTATAATGCCATACTTATGAAGGTGTATACACTACACAGGAGACTGTTGGTCATTCCCATCCAAAAATAAGGAAGGCTGCTTTTTCGAGAGGTCACCTAAACTACTACTGGAAATTAATGCTGTCCAGTTTCACATAGTATGTGCAACTTTACTGGAATCTTCCCATGAGAAAAAAGTAATACCATAGGTGAATAACCTAGAACAATAGATAACTGGAGTAAGAGTAACGTAATGACTAAGACTTGTACATTACTGTATAATAATGAAAAATGTTCACTCAAAATGAAGTGGAGAATGAGCAAAGCAGAAAATATAATGCACTATACATCTATAATAAAAGACCTGCCAGTCACTATCCATCTGTAATAAAAGACCTACCAGCCACTATCCATCTATAATAAAAGACCTACCAGTCACTATCCATCTATAATAA